TGCCCGGGCAGGTGCCACACATGTGCACGCACACACGTCCTCAACAATGCGTCCGGCTCACTTCCCTCCCTGTTGGGTACTAGGGCATACTCCCCAAGCACTGACCACAGAACCAACCTGCAGCGCCAAGAACCGAGCCTTCAACCAATACACGCGGACCACGAACTCCAGCCAGCCATCCTCAAACAGGTCCCGCTGAGATGAGGCAAATGACAGCTGCAGGAGGTCACCCAGGAAGTGGGCTCCCGGGAAATCCGGCCCAAACCTGCCATTTATCACACCAGCAGGGCAGTTCCGAGGAGACACTGAAAACCAGGCCAGAACGAGTCAACTTCATTTTGCAGGGTCCAGATGCCCTTCTGCTCTCCAGAGGTCACCCTCAGCCCTCACCACACCTGCCTCAGATCCATGAGCGCCCTGAGACCCTCAGAGCCTTACAGCCCCCCAAGTGGCAGGCATGAGAGAAGTCTCATGCAGATGGAGATGCAGAGACCCTAAGAGCTGGAGCACCCTCACTTTACAGACTGAAGTTTGAGCATATCTTTGTTCACTGGAGGGGTGATTTAAAAGTCAGAATGATCCACATCATCTGGGAAAATTACTGGGACACATAAAATGTCAAGTAATAACTTGGGAAAACCGAGATCCTACATACTTCCTTCAATCCTGAGTAACAGAAAAGCAGGTAGGTGGCTCCCTCTAGGGGCTCAGCTGCTGCTAACTACTTGAGTGTCCGAGGGACTTCTCTAAGACCCTGAATTTTTCCTGGCCTGACAAGCCAACCCAGGAAATGCGCACACTGCAGATTCAAGTCTAAACTGCATGACTCAGCCTCCCCAAGCCCCCTTCCTCCTGCCTGCTGAGGGTTCAGAAAGTTACCCCTGCCACAGAACACAGAATGCCTCCTACCTGCAGAGCTTCTGCCCTTAGTCAGCAGCCACTGGTCCAGCTGGAGCTCCATGCAGGAGAGAGACATCAGCATCATGTCCTATAAGACAGCACTAGGTCAGAAANACAACCCAATATAATTAGCCCAGTTACTTTCTCTCAATTCCAATTTTAAATGGATTTGGAGCTCATTACAAGTTCTTTCCCATGGCTTTTTCATTCTTGAGAAATTTCATTCTGACTCATGTTGGTTTACTGACTTCATCCCCCAGCAGCATTTTTAAGAAGCACTCATAGGAGCTGGAATCCCTGTTTATAAACGTCTGTTACCACTATAATTACAAACAACGTGGCCAGATGTCTTAGGTCATACTTTCTTTCCTTGAAAACTGTGTAGATATTACCCCAATTGCACTGAATACTGCTATGGAGAAACCAGAAATGAGTCTCATTCTTTTGTCCCATAAACTGCTTTTTTTTTCCTTAGTTTAGAAATCTAAAAAATCTTTATTTTTAAAGTAGATCCTTGACCAGAATTTATCTTGATGTAGATTGCTGTATATCAATTTTTTTGGTATATACTGTATACTTTGAATCTGAAGACTCAGTTTTTATTACAATTCAGAGAAATTTTCCTGTATTGACATTGGGTTGGTTGCTTCTCCTGTTTCAGTGTTGGAGTCTTTCCATCAGGGGCACCATTTTATCCTCACACTGGACCATCTTTGTTTTCCATATCTACCACATCTTCTCTCCAGTGCACTTAGCTCTTAATCACATCCACTTGCTTCCATTTCAGTTATATTCCTTCTATTGGGTTGTAGGAAAAGTCATGATGCATTTTTGCAACGGAAAAACATGGAAAAAAATACGTCATGACTTTTCCAACAACCCAATACTTCTTGCTGTTTTGGTTTATTAGTTTATAATGGTGAGATCTGGTTTGCAGTGTTTTCCCTTAGTTCCGGAATTTTCCTTTTCATTTCATTTTATCAGCTCAAATTTTTAAATAAATAATTTTCTTGTGCAAATCATTTACAGGGCCTCTGCTTCTTGGTGTATGTTTTCTTCCAGACTGAGTTCATCTGGTTTTTGCATAGCATATTCTTTCTTTCCTTTTCGTCCCCAACATGGGGTGAAGAGTCGGCTACATGTTAGAATACTTGCCATGTCATTTCTTTCCATCCTGCTCATGGTCAGCTAAGGCAGTTCCTCCAGACTATGTGAGTGCTCTAATACATCATGAATGAATTTTCTGGGGCACTCTCCCACATAATATCTTTCCTTAAAGCTATAATTGTAAAGCAGGTGTTGCTCTCAATCCACTTTTCCATTGCCTGTGTCTACAGAGGTAGAAGAAGGGAAATCGCCTGACTAGGGCTGTGTGCGGTCATTGTTGGGGGACCTAGATTTTGTTTTCTCTTCTGAGATCCCCTTTAAGGTAGGACTTGCTGCCTGGTGAGAGGAGCGCAGTCAGCAGACAGCCCTTAGCTATCAGTTCCTTCAGGGTCTGTTCCCTCACCCAAGGTCATATACTTCCTGCAGGAGCCCACATCCAGGGGCTGAATGAAATGTGAGTGTAAAGGCCTGGCTACTTCCATTCAAGCTGGTACAACAACTTGGATGGGCACATCCTGCGCCAGAGCTCCCTGTTCTGGGCCAAGGCTTTGTCAGGCTTGCATCACAGTAGGACTTCTCTCCCTGTCCCATCCTGCTCCCCACTCCTTCCTTTCACAAGTAGGGATCCCTGAAAAACTGTCTGAGTGTCTGCTTCCAGAGAACTCAATATTTGACGATGTCCTACACCAGGCCCCTCACCACCGGCCCTCAGTATGTTTTATCCCTGGGCCCCTTCCCTCAATACAGTCTAGTCACTGGAAGATGGCAGGACCCAGCAGCCGTTCCTGCCACTGCCAAGCCCAAGGAGATATGGAGGGCCTTCCCCCACCAGCCCGTTCTCTATCAATGAGACAATATTAATAATATTTCCCAAGATTTTGTGAACTTACCACCTTCCCTAAATTTTCCAGTGGGGACAGAGGAGGGGACAGGAACCACACTTGCTGCCAGTCAACCAGAATCTTTCATTTCTTTCCTTGGCCTACACTTTCAAAATTTCTAGCATTTGACTGATTCCCTTTCCTTGTTTGCTTACTGACAGTTTTATTTAAAAACTATTTTGCTTGCGTAATTAATTTTGGGGGAAAGGAGACCTTTAATCCAGAAGTCTTTCTGTATTATTTTTATAAGAAAAATAATAAACATTTATAGTTATAAACTTTAGTTTTCATAACTAAAATCCTTTGTGGAAAATAGAGAGGTACTACTTGTTGAGAGCTCTAAAGATATTTATCCTATGGCAGAAGCAAAACGGTATGCATGAGGTGTTTACTGAAGTGCGACCTGTGAGACAGAAATACTGTAGCCATGCTGAGGGTTCAGCAGGGGGGATGGCCCAGTAAGCAGGGCACCTCTCAACAGCATTATGAGACCATGGAGCTTTCTGAAATCGGGTATAAGAGGCTTTCTCAGTTTGGCCCCTTCCCCTATCCACCCCACATGGCCCAGCTCTCTCGTGTCCCTGTCTACGCTGCTCCATCTTCCCAGTGTCCTCCTCCTCCCCAGCCCTCCCATCAGGCCTCAGCCCAACCCCTGCCCCCACTCCAGGCGGCATGAGGTGCTCTCCCTTCCAGCTGGCCACACTGGCTTGGCACTTGGTGTTCCTGTCTGTCTCCTCTCACCATGAACCTGTCAGGGCCTGAGGTATCTTATTCACAGAATACTAACATGCAGTGAGCAGCTGATAAGTAACTGGGGAGTAAACAAACTTAGACAGGGAGACTGAATGAAAGGAAACATGCCACATGTTAACTCGGTGGTCACTGGAATAGGGTCGGCTTTCTCTCCTTTCCACTGTTTTGATTTTTCAAATTACTGAGGGAAAATCCCCAATAAATTTAATTTTAAGCTAGTTGAGTACATATATAAATATGTGTATTACAATCACAGGTATATAAAGTACAAGTATATTGGCCAAGTTTTAGACAGAAAAATGCAAGAAAACCAAGGGGAAAAAATCCACTTGGTAGAATTACAGGAAATCTTTGCTTAGATATCATTTAATTATTACTGTAATATAATTTATTCAATTAACCACATTTTCTACCACTGCATTGACCCGGCTCAATCCTAGGCTTGCCCTCTCCAGCCTCTCCATTTGTAACTACTCTGCACTCAGCACCTCCATGTGCCGGCACTGATTTGCCACAGCAAGTGGTGGCTTTATTATCCCATTTTGTCCTTGCAACAACCCTCTGGGACAGGTACCATTATTCCCAGTGTGGATATAGGGAATAAAAGCTGAGATGTTACATGACTTGCCCAAGATTATACTGCCAAGAAGTGACAGCTGGGATGTGGAACCTGTGCTTGCGTGCTCCGTGCTGCCCTCCAGCTGTCCACATCCCCCAGCCTCACTGGCCCAAACCCAGGAGGGGCCATGGGGAGCAATGGTTAACTGCAAAGGCTGGCACAGGGCTGCCCATCTCATGGGGCTGTTGTGGGGATTAAAGGAGTTCGCGGGTATGAGGCCTCGTAGAGCAGTGACGGCGCCCTTCATAAGCACTCACCACGTTGNGTCCAGAAGCCGGCGACTGATCTGCCTCGCCCAGGAAGAGCGCAATGATGGTGCCAACTTGGGCCAGTGAAGCAACGTCCACAACTAGACTGAAGAACAAAAGGACAGCAACTTGTCTGCTCCCCTTCCCCCAATTCCCCAGCGCTATTCCCATCTCCCAATTCCACAATTAAAAAAAAAATTCTTTAAAAAAAAAAAAAAAGAAGAAGGTGGTGGTGAAGGTAGAGCTTACTTCTAAAATTACTACCAAAGGACTGACCCTGTGCTAGACACGTTAACAGCCTCGGTAATGACAAGTGGATCTAAATCCACCAGCAGTTCAAGGCCAGGTCTAGATCCCCCTGAGCCCCAGGTGCACAGGATACCAAGTTCAGACTTTCTGGCAACTCTGAGTAGTCATGTCCGCGCAGTAAGTCAAAGCAGCACAATGGGCCCCACTGCAGGGGAAGGCCAAACAGGCACCTGCAGCACTTACGTAGAAGCGCAGCAGAGCCCCATCTGAGTTGCAGCACCAGGACCTCCGGCCCAAATACTCGTGGGCCGTGTTGAGCAGCATGAGGGAGGACGGCAGCAAGGACGTCTCGGACATCACTGGGGAAAGAGCAGGCCAACAGTCAGTGAGTCACTGCAGGGACATGTGAAGGAGCTACAGGGCTCGGCCTCTCCTTCCGGGGCTCTGCTATCTTTACCAAGACAGCCACAGGTTTTTCTTTCTTTCCTTTTTGTCTTTTAAAATAAGTAATGACTTGACTAGCTTTACTAAGCAATTCAAGTCATACAGGAAAGCACAAAGAAGGAATCTATCAATGCTGACATTTGGTGAACATCACTGGATGCATCTTTCTGGGCACATGAGACATTTTAAAAGATAAGTAATTTATAACAATGGAACCCAGACTACATACACCATGTCTTAAATAAAAAATTCTTATATTTAGGTCTACTTGAATATTACAGAAGAAAAATGAACCACCAAATTTTAGTTAAATGTTTGTTCACCACTAGAACTATTACTAGTTTCTTTAAAGATCCTTTGTTGTTTTCGAAATCTGGGCCATACATAACCCATTAGGGGGCTTGTAACTAACATTTTTAAAGAATATTAGAACAGAA